TATTTTTTCGACTTGACTTTTTTCTTCAGCAATTATTCACGCAAAAGAGTGTAGCAAAAGTGAGAACTCAGTTCTTTTTGTACTTCTGAACATGCTGTTTCCTCTGGCCTGTGAAAAATGTTTTTCACTCGATAGAAACTTCCATAGTTCTACAGCCAATAATCGTCATACAGAATATCAGTCGTACACATCAATTCCATTTTAGATGAACATTAATTTGGTATGTAATAAATTTTTATATCATTTGTAGTTTCAGCTCTACCCCCCTGGAAAAATATTATTTCCAACCGTGTAGATAGACGTTGCTTTATCAACATATGATTTACGGAACTTGTACTCGAAGTGGTTCGTTGTGATGAGGAAAGGTCTCCAAGTGCTCCATCGCTTTTACTTTGAAACATACATGATTATGGGTAATTTGTTATACTGATTCCAAATCCAATATTCATATGGGCTAAGAGGTGTTTTTACTATGGATCTCTAGCCATCCGTTGTCTGGAGATCCCTCTTAAAATATGAGATGGAAAGGTTCTCGTGTATCCAGATTGTAGAGTACGTCGAGTTAATCGTGTATGTTTCGACGTAAGAGCGATGGATCTATGGACACTTGGAAATATTACCTTGTGAGTACGAATAAATCATATTTAATAGATAAACGTACAGCACCTACAATAGCCTTTTCTGATTATGGACTATTAAATCGTAGTCAATATTAAATACTATATCGTGTTCTTCCATCCGATACCACAACAGCTTTAGCACTTGTTTAATTATTTAACCGTTATCACTGGACTCAATGTACAATTACTCATACAAATGATGATTATGGCTTGAATGGTTTAAATGTTGTAACAGAACAATTCGTCAATAGGCTTAATTATAGCAAATGCAGTTCGATTTGATACTACCTGTACCCAAAAACATATGTGGATTCGACCTTAAATAGTAATAGAGCATTTTAAAAATTCAATTTTTATGTTCGAAGGCATTTGTTATATAAATCGACATAGTCAGTCGTATATTACAACACTCGGACTATCTGGCAATAACTTACGTTCTGGAGCATATTCATAGATGGATTAACTGGAGTGGTCGGAAAGACCCCAGAAATGACGAAAAACGAACGTCGCAAAATATAATCTTGTAATATCTCAAATGAAATCTCAAGACATGGAGAGTCCAAATATACATGTGTCGATGTCATTCGGCACATGCTCGCGCATGTGCCGAGGAAAAGTGCTAATTTAAGTCGTGTTCTGTGCGTTCTGTGCAGTGAAACTCGTGTTTAGTCAAATACTTTTACTTTTCACAGAAGAATTTAGCCAAAAAGTACGACCATTATTAATATTTTCCAATTTTGCCAATCCACATGCTGTTTTTAGCGGTTTTTAGGGCTTTTACGAAAAATGCTGTAAGTCCAAAAGGAAGCATTATCTAGTCAAAACATTTTGGGAATTTTCCTAAATGTGTTGAATGGCTCTTAATACAACTCGAAATGCACGTACTCAGTTGACTTTAAATGTTTACCTTATTTCAACATCATTGAGATTAGTCATCAATGTTTGCATGATCTCCTTAACCGAAAACCTTGTAAAGTATGGAGAGTTCACCATTCTATTAACTTAACTAACAAAATGAGGCAATCTCCAATTCTAGACGCCTTTCGTTTGAAAGATACATAGTCGAGAAAACAGTAGAAGAGGTTACACAAGCACGTTTTTGGCCTATCAATAGTTACGTAGTTATGGCCCATAAGTAAGTGTCGGGAAAATAATGTTTTCATAGATGGTCGGCATAGCTCTTTCAACTGTGTGAGTCGAATTTTTTCGAACAGCAAATTTTTATTTTCAAGCTTAAACTATTGTAATGGCTTGCGTGGTAAAAGAAAGAATATATTCTTTTCTGCTTCATTTATTTTTAATTTATTTAAATTTTACTTTTTTGTGCATTCTTCTTCGAAAGAAAGAGAAAAAGAAAAGAGAGTCAAACATTGATTGACAGGTAAGAAACGCACATTTTTTTTACAGTTTTGTTAAGAATTGATGAAAGAAGCTTTGTTTTTTCAATTTTTGTTTTGTTATGAAAATAGTAGTTCCACAGGTGCAAGGAGCTTCTGATGCGCTTACAAATCCTTTAGTTTTAACTCAATGGAATCAAATTACAGTTTGTTTTAACCAACACTTCTTTTACCACCACATATCATACCATTTTTAGAAACGAATGGCTAAAGCAACTGATAATTCGTCACATAAATGCCAACTTTCACCGTCAAAAACGTTTGTAAGAAAATCGGAATGATCAAATGTCATGGTTGTTCCAATCGTTATTGTAAAGAGCATTTCTCGGAACATCGTCGGCTTATTGATCAACATATTGATCGACTCTGTTCAGATCGTGACCTGCTCTACCAAGAAATATATAACTCAAACAGCTCACCATCAACATCAACCCATCCATCACTTGAAGAAGTTAATCAATAGGAGCATTTTCCAGTAAAAGTACTTTCTGTAAGAGAGTTTTTGTTAGAACAACTTATTGAAGTTCTCCAATCGAATCTAGCAGAAGAACTTCAATAAGCTGTCCTAATTTTCCAGCAAAAAACTATCTTACGGACAGTCTCTATCTCCTTTGATCTTGACAATGAAAACATATCAGTTTATACTCCTTTTTTATGCGCTTTCCAATGGTACCATTTGCATTCGAACAAAAGTTAACAGGTGAATAGACTGAAAACTGTCCCAGACCTTTTTTCCGCTGGAGATTTCATGTTTGGTACTGTTCTATCAGGGTCAAAGAACAACAATCTGTTTGCTTTATAAAATATCAAAGTTGAATGACAATGCTGAACATGTGATTAAAGTCAGAGCCGACTTAAAAATAAAGTACTAGTGGACAGTTTTCGAGTGTCCCAGAACTTTTTTTGAGGACTATAGTTTCACATTATTGTAGTCAAATCATTAATTTTTCATCTTTTAATAACTCCATAAATTTTTTAAGATCGTCAATTTGTTCTTCATAGCATAAAACGTCAAGATGATTCATGGGGAATGCTTTTTTGGCGATTGATAATGCTTTTTTGTAATGTTTCAAAGCATCTTGGTATCGTTCATTAGTGATATACACGTCTCCAAGCGCTCCCTGAAGTTCAGCAAATGTAGGATGATTTTTTGGTAAATATTTAGCAGACATTTCAATAGTCATATGATAAAATTTCAATGCCAAAGCAAGTTTGTTTTGCATCGTATAACAGTCACCCATATGACGAAAGATCTCAGCTAAACGACAGTAGTCTAACGGTTTACTTTGACGTTGTATTTGTAATGCAGTTTTATATTTTTTCAAAGCTGTTCTGTACTTGCCTTGACATTCATAAACTTCGGCAATATTTCGGTACATAATTGCAATATTTGCAAAAGCGTTGGGTAAGCATTCTTCATGCCAGTGAAGAGCTTTTTCAAAGTAAACAAGAGCTTCCGAACAATCACCTATTTCTCTGCTGACAATACCAGCGTCATTATAAAGTATGGGAACAAGTGGATCACTAGCAGGAAGTGATCCGATACTCTTCTTAAGTTCTTCTTGTCGTTTTTTCTTTGCTGAAGCATAATTCTTTTCACCAGGCATAGCTTCTATTGGATTAAAATATTCTTCGCTTGGACCGAACTTTTTTGTAAGATCGTTAATCCCAGATTTTATCCTAGATTTAGAATATTTTACAGCATGATTACCTTCTCCGCTCATCCACAAATAATTACATAATATTTCAAGATCGCTTGTTTCACCGATTTGATTAATAAAATAATCCTCCAAGCGTTTCGATTCTTCATCTTCAACTTCACTTAAGGTGAGTTTAATAAACCAAACATTATCCAATACTTCATCAACCGATTCAATTTTAAAGATTGTGCCAATAGAAAACAATATTTCACCTTCATCTTTCATAATACTGACTTGTTGAATATCTGCAAATGGTTTAATGGCTTTTTTGACGTCAACTTCTATTTCGAATACAATCGACTCAATGAATGGATGGCCGGAACCATTTCCAGCATAATCACTAGCTACTGCACAGGATTTTGTTGTTGATAAATACGTATTCATTGATACAAGACCGCCAATATTGTCTTTTAACTTTTGTAGTTCGCTCGGAGCTATCAGTTGACCACGATAGACAGTGAATGTTGGTGACGTATGATTAAATTGTGATTTAAATAGTTCCTGTAATTGATTTTGCAGATCAATGAGAAAAAAACGAAGTTTATACAACGCATCAATGTTTTTCGTTCGAGATGCTTTATTAAATTGTCGAAATAAGAAGCAATCATATGTATACCATTTGATTGCATTTGTTGGCGCGTAATTTGCTTGAAAGTCATTTATTTTCTTCAATTCAGCTGGGTTATCTGCATACGAAAATTTACATTCTGCAATCATTTCATCTATTGCGCTTTTTGTTTGCGGCATTCGAAGAAATATTTCAATTAATAAATTCAACCACATTCGTGATGGATTTTCTGTTTTTAAATCTTTCACGGAATTTTCTTGTTTATCTGTTGTGAATACATCCAGATGTATCACCATTTTAGCATTAGTTATGACATCCTCCGTCAGATCGATAGCCAAACTTTCCATCTCTCGGTAAATTCCACGTATTTTTGGATGCCTTTTCTTCAATTTCTGCTCGTATTTCCTGTCTACGGATCCAAATATATAAACAAATTGGATTTCTGGCGGTTCATCGATATATAGTAGTATGTCAAGAATAAAAGACGATGATACAATAAAATATATCTTTTCTTCTTGAAGTAGAGAGATGTAGTTTAAACATGTGTGTACATTTCTAAAAGTTTTTACGCAATTAACGATAGTACGTAATCTAGGTATCGATTCAATATTCTTGTTATCAGGTCTCAGCCAAACGATAGTAGAATCATCAAGGTTTTCTCTTTCTTCTAATATGAAATTAGAGAAATCATCCGTCATTAATTCATCATTGACTCCGTATAACGGACAACTAAGTAAATTATCTTGTTCTGATTTGTGTGGCGGCTTCTTTAGTGATAACAATTGCCTATGAATCGTCGCTGTTTTACTTATTCTGTTCTCAGGCATCTGAGAAAATTCTCCAACTGTTATTCGAAGGGGAATGTGCAAAATAACATTCTTCTGTACCATGCTATCAGTACAACTGATGGGCACTAAAAAGATAACGATGCAAAAATTCAATTATTGTAAGATGCCGGCAATGCGAAATTCGAGTAAAAAGTTGTTTTTCGCCTTTTTTTACACCGTTTGATAGAGTGTGAGCTGCTGATTACGAAAATCTACTTTTTAGCCATAGCAAATGCTTCCTTCCGCTCGAAAAATACGAAATACTAGAGAGATGTCGTTTTTCGAGAAAAACACATCTTTTTCGAAATGTGCAAAATTGTCTACTTTATTTTTTTTTCCAGCTTCTGAAACTAGTTTTTTCAGATTCAGCATCAAAAACTTTTGACCTGTGCACAACAATTGCCTCCGTTACCTGAAAAAATGAGCAAAAATGAAAGTTGTCAAATTGACTTGAAATACATCTCACTCGACTCAGTTTTTTGTGCTGATACCGAATCTGTATTTAGTTTATGACTAAAAATCTTATTTGAATTCGAAAAGCCTTGAATACTGCCTAAAATGACTATGATACCAGTAAAAACGGTTTTTACCAGTAGGGTTTTGAGCACATTTCGAAAAAGATGTTTTTTTCTCGAAAAACGACATCTCTCTAGTATTTCGTATTTTTCGGCCGGAAGGAAGCATTTGCTATGGCTAAAAGGTAGATTTTCGTGATCAGCAGCTCACGCTCTGTCAAATGGTGTAAAAAAACGCGAGAAAAAACTTTTTACTCGAATTTCGCATTGCCGGCACCTTACGTTGACAGAGGATGAATTTTTATAAAATACGTACTATTTTTTATTGGGTAATTAACATTTCTGATGTAAACTATGCAAGCGCAAGAAAGCATAGCCTATTAATCGGATAATGTCTCGAAAAAATAGAGTAGGAGGACGGGGTAAAAAGAGGAGAGCGTAGGACAGATGTCGGTGCAGTTATTGGTATGAGTAGAACTATCGATTTGGGGCAGAACAGAGGCGGTGGAGCTTCTTGAATCCAGGTGAGGCTTGTAGAATTTCCTTTGTATTACTCGAAATTCGACGATCAAACTTTTATTTCATCTTCAGTAAACCAACAAAACAAACGGTAAAAAGGTGTGAATCTTAATCGCCGAAAGTCACATAGCCGAAACGCAGATCGCCGAAATCAGGCAAATTACGTTTCGACAATGAACAATTTCGGCGATGTAGCTGCCTGCAATCTAATATTTCGAAGATTCCTCTTTCGACGAAGTGGCCCGTACCTCTTTTCGCCGACTTGCATCATGATAAAAGTATTCACCACCCATATCGTAGGATGCTACTTTCAGTCTATATATATGAATATTAGGGCGGGTCAAATTTTTTTTCGATGTTTTACCTATCCTAGCGGTGTTCTACGGGTCGTTTTAAGAAACTTTGCCCAAGGAACTATAGCTCTATCGTGAAAATCGA